TATTTTTTTGTCATCTATGTCATATATGTAGGCCTATTTCTAAAAAAGCGGGTTTCTATTAATGCTTTCGAAAAAGTGTAGGGGCCTCCACAATAATCCTGCCCAGGGGGGGGGGGGCTCCACAAACTTAAATCCGGCCCTTCTAACGTATTTTGTGTTCATTGTTGAGGCGCCACATTTCATCTCGTCTTCTGTTATTAACACAGTTGCCAGCGAAAGAGAGCAAAGCAAGTACAGAGAGGCATTTTATGGTTCAGCCCTTCCGCCACCATCATCAGACGCATTCCGAGGTCAGCTCATCAGAAATAAAAGCATTATCAGACAAGTAAGCCCGAGTAAATGTTTGTTTGTTTGACATGTTTCGGATGTTCCTTCAGAGTGGAAGATAGTTTACTTCCTAGTCCAAACCTCCCGCAGGACGACGGGGGGATGGGAGCGGGCAGGGTTTGAACCCTCGACCGTCGATAAATCCGAACGACAGTCCAGCGCGCAAACCGCACGACCAGGCAGACGAGTTGCATCATTTGCTTGCTGTCCGTTATAATATTATAAGAGGTTAGCAAAATTATCTTTTTCATCTTATCTTCTTATCTTATACATTACAGACGTTACTTTAAAAAAAAAAAGTAGTTAATTACGTTCTTTGCTTTTAATGTGTCAATGTGGTGTGGTCATGCATGTTAATCAATGAATTAACTCAGCTCGTTTGGTATTCCTGGCTGATTCAGGCAACCCATTCCATTCTCTTATGGCTCTAGGGAAGAAGGAGCACCTGTGCTCTTGGCGCGTCCAGACGAAAGCGTAGCCACTGTAATGAAGCTGTAGTTGGACCGAGACCAATCGTTTTAGAAGGCCCGTACACTGACCTGCAACGTCACAACCTGTGGGCAGTTTAGACCAATAGCTCATTGCGACGTCACAGGTCTCGGTTGGACGCGTAGAAGTTGGGTCTAATCGGGAATTTCCTTTATTGGCATGACGATACATTAAAAACGTAAAACGGAAGTAGCCTAGAGACAGGATAACAGTAGAGACTCAATTCAGCATTGCTTAGGACAGCGGTTCTCAACGTTTTAAGCTCGGCGACCCCTTTTTAAAATTCCTCACTTTGCCGCGACCCCCCCCCCCACACACACAGCAATAGAAGAATAGACCACAACAATCCATTTTTTTTTGGTCTTAGGCAACCCCTGACAAATCGTCAATTGACCCCCAAAGGGGTCGCGACCCGCAGGTTGAGAACTCCTGGCTTAGGACAAGACATGTTTTTAGCTCTAGTGACGTTGGACTGTACCCTTCTTTTCAAATTAAAAAATAAGTTCCCCTTTCAGACCTTGCGATCTATAGGGCAGAGGATGTAACGGCCAAGTGTTTCGGCGACCCACGGTTGTACGAGGGTTTCTTGTGGCGAGTGGCCAGCACAACGACCAACCGCCTTTACTTTTTCCAACCAATGTCAGGTACCCATTAGAGCTGGGTGGACTCAGGGGCGCTTTAAAGATCCCAAAAGTAGAACTCCGAGTCTTTACCAGAATTCGAACCCGGGACCCTAGGTTTGGAAGCCAAGCGCTTAACCACTCAGCCACTGCGCCCCTTGATACAAATAAATTATTAGTATTTTCCTTTTTTTTTTCTTGTATGGTCCCTGTTGGTCCCCAATGGTTATGGGCCCCAGGGGAGAAAAGCCCCTTCGCGCCATGGTTGCTACACCTTTGTTACGTGGTACTTCCTTACCACGTAAGGTCCTTACGCGGTTTGTTTCCCCTTTCAGGGGCCGCTAATATCTGGATGACATTGGGGTTAGACGAAGAATAATTTCACATCGGGAGCTATTTATAAACCACAGTGACTAAGACTAAGACTGCTTTATTGATCCTTACGGAAATTAGTTGTGATTACAAGGACTCTTTTCTCATATAAAGACAACACAACAAAAATACACATAAATACAACAGACAACATAAAGAGTTCATTCAGCGACTACACACAGGTATCTTGGTGCATTTCATGTTCCCTGATCAATGAGTCTCGGTGATAGAGTCTGACCAAGTGATGTACGAACGAGTTTTTGTACCGCTACGTTCTTGTTTTGATTGACAGCAGTCGCCCACTTCGCGACGACCTGATGTAGTTCTGATGGAGCGGGTGGCTGTTGTCTTCCAAGATTTTTTCGATTTTTCTTAGGCACTTTTGTTCAAAAAGTTCCTTTAAATGTGGGAAGCAGTGGACGAATATTCTCTATACTCAAAAAGCAAGACATACTCTTAAAATTTCATGGTGTTAAAAAATTAGAATTGACCTTGTTCTTTGATCAACAGATTCAAAAAGGGGGAAAGTTAATGGCAGACCTGGAAGCACTACGCGATGGAAACGAGATGACAGATGGCGATTTATGGGATACGCTGGTTGGAGGAATACTGTCGTATGAGGTAAGTATTCAAATTTGATTTGTCACCTAGATATTCTCAAGCCAGAGTTGAATTTTTGCGTTCATTTTGTTGCTGTACCAAGGCTTGTCTAATGGTATGGGAATCGTTGATTTTCCGTTATTCTAGTTTGAGTCTGGGCTCAACATGGCCTTAATTGTGCCAATGTGCCAAAAACCCAAAACACCAAATATCTAGATAGAGTCTACAATATAATAAATTAATCAAATTAATAATTTATTTTAATGTTTACATGTGTAATGAAAATAACAGACACAGTTCTTAGCCTCGTGGGAGAAGTTACTCCTAGAATTTCACTTGTTCCAAGGTCTGTTTTATCGCTGGGGCAAAGCAAGTATAACTGGACATCCCATGTATCACAGGATTAATACCAGTTTCTATGAGACATTATATCTATCACATGAGCATCATATCTATAAATAGGCCAACACATGTAATACCAGGGTATCACACGTTTTTTATCGTGTCTATTACTGGGGCATCACACATTATACTAGGGCATCATGTGTATTACTGGGGCATCTCAAGTATTTCTAAGGCATCATATCTATTACTAAGAAATCACGTGTAACACGGGCATCATGTCTATTATTAAAGCATCACATGTATCACAGGGGCATCATACATATTACTGGGGCATCTCATCTGATACTAAGGCATCACATTATCATAGGGGCATCCCATGTATTACTTGGGTATCACATGTTTAACTAGTGTATGACATGTGTTACTGGGGCATCAAATGCATTATTAGTGCATCACATGCACATTTCAGATATAGTGAACCCTGTACCTTGTAAGGCAGTCTTTCCAAATTTAGTGAACCCTGTACCTTGTAGGAAAGTTTTTTCAGATTAAGTGAACCCGTTACCTTGTAGGAAAGTCTTTCCAGATTTAGTGAGCCCTGTACCTTGTAGGAAAGTCGTTTCAGGTTTAGTGAGCCCTGTACCTTGTAGGAAAGTCTTTTCAGGTTTAGTGAGCCCTGTTCCTTGTAGGAAAGTCTTTTCAGGTTTAGTGAATCCCTTGACTTAGCCCTGAGCAATGTTTGCATTTTTCAAATCAATAGTAACAAGTGGCTTATATTTAACTTTGTCTACCCTGAACATCAAGACTTGACAGGGAACCACAAAATGTTTAATACTTAGGATGAAAGCACAACATATTAGTTTTAAAAATGATTTTGTATATTGCATCTTCCAGTTTCTTTTGTGTACATTTTGGGATGGGGATATCTGAGCAAAACGTTCCATACTGCCTTTAGGCACTCAGTGAATACAACTTAATTAATGGCATTGTCTTCGATTCCGAAGATTGAGGATGAGTGCAGTGTTTTACAGAACTACGCAAACCCAGTAGCGACCTGCATATTTTCCCGCATTTCGTGCAGACAAAGCCGTTGTCTGCTGGCGGTCTTTTTCAAATCTCAAATGTTTTTCCTGCAGCCTTTGTGAGAGCTCTCTGTCTCTTTCAGAGGCCATCTGCTGCCAGATACTTTCCTCTATGCCAGTGAAAGCGAAATGGCACCTGAGTTGATCTTAATTGCGCTTACGGAGGGCACTTCTGTTACGCCGTCCGCCTCTAAGATTGCCTTTGGCATGCGGTTGTCCCCCATGCGGGGTAAGTGTCCGACCCGCGCAGCTATCGAATGGTAATTAGTGCTTCTATGCTGGTCACCGGCCTCCAGCAGAACATACTTATATACATATACCACTTGCAGACCTTGTGATCTATCTATTCTGTCCCTTGACTTTCGTGTAGGGGTGCTGTGACAGTTCACGTAACCAAAGCCCTCTACTTTTCCCGGTCAGCAGCTGTTCTTAGCAGGGTATTAAGAGACCACTCCATTTATTGATGTTACGATCTATGGGACATGATTTAAAGCTCATTTTTGTCCAAGAGTGTCATGTGGCCAGTACAACCACCACCTTTACATTCTCAGTGTATATTAGGCACCAATAAGAGTATGGTGAATTCAGGGGGGGGTCCTAAAAATCCCAAAGTTCAAGATCCCACTCTATAATAGGATTTGAACTCAATACTTCTTGTTTCAGAGGCCAAGTGCTTTACCACTCAGCCAGCACCACATAAATACAACTTAGCACATTAAATCGTGAATTTAAAAAATTGAACTTGAGCCCTCCCCCCCCCCTCCCTTAATCAAGTAGGCAATTGCTTTATGTTGAGCCACACATCTTATTAATAATTAAATATGGATAAACAATCAAAGGTACGACAGATCTAGTTTTCTAGTACAAGGAAGGTGGCAACTAAAAAAAAAAAACCCAAACCAAACTCTTCTGGTCCAGAATCATTTCACCAATCAACAATTTGTATAGGCTTTGGTTTATTTCAAAACATTATGAACATAGAAATAAACCCAGATACATTACACAAAGAAACCATAAGTTAAAAAAAACAGACAAATAAGAAGATTTCAAAGCACCATAATCACTGAAGTAGACTGTATTCTCCAAATAAAAAAAAATAGCAACTAAAGTATAACCATTTATAATGAACACTTGCTATAATCTAATGTACAGGCTAAAAGCTGTATAACATAAAAAAAAAATCTCATGAATTATGTCCAAATGAATATTGTTTTTATCATCCAGTGAGAACAATTGCAGATTCAGTGTCGGGGATCAATCAAACCAAACCAATTGATCTTGAATTCATAATTTATGTTGTGGTATTGATCTATATTTTTATTTAATTTCATCACTGAAGAGGCATTTTAAGTCAATCATCAAAGGAATGCAGAGTTATGGTACTTTAATAAACAAATTCAGCACATAAGGGTTTTATACATATCTAGATACCATTCAGTTTAAGTATTAAAACAAAGCCCACACCAGAAGGTCAGTGAAACATTTTAAAGGGGAAAGATTTTGATTGAATAAAAGAAATCTTACACTCAAGTTCATACAGGACCTTGCAATCTAAAGTGCAGAAGATGTTAAGGTCATCTGTTTCTTTGGCCAACGGTTAACGAGCAGGGTGTTATGTGGCCAGCACAACGATCAACTGCCTTTACTTTCCCCATCTTAAGTCAGGTACCCATTAGAACTGGGTGGACTCAGAGGCGCCCTAAAAAATCCAGAAATTCAAAATCCCAGTTTTCACCAAGATTCGAACCCAGGACCCCAGGTTCAGAAGCCAAGCACTTAACCACTCAGTCAATACTCTACTTTGCTAGGGATTTATTTGAGAGAAGAAAAAATGCTAGATTATGGGATCTAATCAAGTAGCTTTACTTAAACATCTTCACCCATCACACAGTCACAGAAACATGTCAACATTTCATCTTTCTGTGCTTCTATTTTGTTTTACGGGTTTCAAATATGCTTTTAACTCTTTCAGTGAGTACTGTTTTTTTTTCTGGGAAGAACTAAAATGTGCAAGGCAGGGTAGAGTTACTAAATCTAACATAATTTTTTGAATTTTTTTTTAAAGGAAAATGAATTAGCTACAAAAGTAAGAGTACAAGAGGAAATACATCAAAAAATTCATCAAAAATGTATATTTTGAAAGATAGAGTAACCCCACACTGAAAGAGTTAAGAAATGAAGATTATTACATACAAGCCCAAACCTCCTGCAGTGGACAGGATTCAAACTGGGGACCAGCTGATGATAGTTCAAAGCCCAAACCTCCTGCAGTGGACAGGATTCAAACTGGGGACCAGCTGATGATAGTTCAAAGCCCAAACCTCCTGCAGTGGACAGGATTCAAACTGGGGACCAGCATGATGATAGTTCAAAGCGCAAACCTCCTGCAGTGGACAGGATTCAAACTGGGGACCAGCTGATGATAGTTCAAAGCCCAAACCTCCTGCAGTGGACAGGATTCAAACTGGGGACCAGCATGATGATAGTTCAAAGCGCAAACCTCCTGCAGTGGACAGGATTCAAACTGGGGACCAGCTGATGATAGTTCAAAGCCCAAACCTCCTGCAGTGGACAGGATTCAAACTGGGGACCAGCATGATGATAGTTCAAAGCCCAAACCTCCTGCAGTGGACAGGATTCAAACTGGGGACCAGCATGATGATAGTTCAAAGCCCAAACCTCCTGCAGTGGACAGGATTCAAACTGGGGACCAGCATGATGATAGTTCAAAGCGCAAACCTCCTGCAGTGGACAGGATTCAAACTGGGGACCAGTGTGATGATAGTTCAAAGCGCAAACCAAGCAGCCAAAAAATCCACATTACATTTTTTCTCTCCACAGTTCAGTCTGTGTGCATCTCTTATAAACTTATTGCACATCAACATATGAAACAGGACACAAATTAACCACATTCTTTTAAAAGGAAAAGAGAAAAAAAACAGCCAATCACAATATTAGTAACATACCAGTAGGTCAAGCTTCACTATACATTAAAATTATGTTCCAAACTGCCACCACTTGGTTCTGACTACTAGAGTATATCAATATGATATATATTTTACATTCACATCTTGTACAATCTGTCTGGCTTATTATAACCACAACTGATTAAATCTTTTCTTGCACCTCAGGAGTTAGGTAAGAATTCTTCATGGACGATATAGCTCATTAAATGATCATTATCATACAAAGTATCAATTATCATACAGGTTCTATCTCTTAAAGATATCAATTATACAGGTTCTATCTTTTTAAAGTATCTATTATCATGCAGGTTCTATCTCTTTAAAGTGTCAATTATCATATAGGTTCTATCTCTTTAATTTGTCATACAGGTTCTCTCTCTTTAAGGTATTAATTATCATACAGGTTCTCTCTCTTTGTGGTCATGTCAATTAAGTCCAACGGTTATTTGAAACTTAGCCTTGGAGAACAAATAAGAAAAAGAGGCTTGCCCCAATGCTCTGATTCAGGAGAGAAGGAAAATTAACCACAAATAAAACAGCTCTCAAATATGGGCATTTGGTGGAAGCTATTTTATCACAACAAAACAAAAGTGAAGAACAACAGAAAAAAAAAAAAAGGGTAAAAATAAGATAATTGTATAAAGGTAAATTTTGTAAACAACGCAATTACAACTTTAGATTTGTTCACTACAATGTTATCTTCCTTTACCCTACCAGATAAAGGAGAAGGTCAAATGTTATATCATGTTGCGATTTTCGTTATTATTTATTTTTTCACCCCTTTAGACAATGCATGTACAAGTTGCCTTATCGAGCCTCTAGTCACAAGATTTCACTGTAGCTAGTGCTCAGCAGATTTGAATAACAGAAGCTGTGAAAGTGTCACAACAAATCACAGACGAAGTTTTAACACAGGTTTTGTGCAGAAGCCTGTGTTGAACGTTTCTGGGCCCATGATGCCAGATATCAGGCCGGGCCTTAGGCATAGACTAAACAGGCAGCATCCTCAAAGTGTTGTGGGCCTCGCACAGGACTAACAAATTTGTAGATAAAAAATAGCAAAACTTGGATCAGATCTCAAAAATAGTAGAGCACTATGACTCTACATTTACAAGTTTAACTCTGTCTCTACTACAGAAATTGTGATATGTTTATTTCACTTTTTTGCTCATTTAGATATAGATGGCCAGTTTTTTGGTGGTGGTAGGGGGGGAGGGGGGGGGCTATCAAATTCATTTTGCCTAAAGCCTCCAATTATCCAAGGCTAGCCCTGCAGAGACCATTGAGTATCACAACCTAAAATAGTTTCAATTTCAACAACCAAGTCACAGAGTGTCTCAACAAGCTTTCAAACAAACTGACTGTGCACAGCAGCCAAAATTGTCCAACTATTTCTGGGACCATGACGACCAAACAGACAAACACAATTCCTCATATTTTGAAATCACACTGTGTTAGATCAACCTTAGAAAAACCCAAGCTGGTGGGAATGTTCCAGTTGAAAGAAAAGAAAATTACAAGGGCAAGAACTAGATCTACAAGGGCAAGAACTATCTATTGTAGAGTTAGGTAAATAAAACAACCTTCCGATTGGTCAATAGGGTTATGATAAAATAACACACTATCCACTATCAACTGGCCCATTGGGATATGAAAATATAACACATTCCTGGATAACAAAGATGCTTTATGTAGAGCCTGGGAACTTCTATCAGCTACAAGAAAAAAATTATAAGTTTGGGAATGATCAAAACAGAACATTCTATTTTTAAAGTTGTCGTTAAATTTATGCTAATACTAAAAAGCTATGCTTTTGGTAGACTTTAAACGATCAGGACGTGTTGAGAATGCTCTGTCTATGTCTTTTAGCAGAAGCAGGCTTTTTAGTGCAGGCGGACATTGGAGTCTATGTGTGGCCCAAACCACATTATGGCCGGAGCACATCATTGCACACCTGGCAACCCTGCGGGCCTGGTTCTGCAGGGACATGACCTGGTAGGAAGCTCTTTTTCCATCAGAGGTCTGCAGGTGGTGGTCCAGCTGTTGCATATGCTGAGAACGAGCAGCATGCCTCTTGGTGTTATTCGTACCATTGGAAGTGCCCAGAAGTTCATCCTGAGAGCTGCTGGAACAAAGCTGAAGCTTGTGGAGGATCATAGGGAATTCTTCAGGTCTGGAATTAATCAGAACACGTATCAAAACGTCTGAGGATGACCCCAGGGAATGCCCATGGGCAGCTAGTAATGCCATTAGAATATCCATGCCCGATCCTATATTATCCAGAGAGTTCCTCTTCACGAGTTCTGACATAGCCAGAATGACAGCATTCTCGTGAGTCAGAGTGGGTTGGGGACCATTCTTGGGATTGACCTTCGCATAGCCGTATGCCGGGCAGAAGTCTTGTGGCCGAGGCCTGGTGAGCACTCCTAAATATATCAGCTCATTGACAATGTCAATGTTTTGGTTGATGACTGCCTGGTATAGGGGTGGGCACTTATTCCACTGATAGACTGTGACCATGTTAATGTCTGCTCCGTGGTTCACCTGGAAGAAATGAAACAAGATTGGAACATGACTTTCCATTGATCTTTAGAACAAAATATTTAAGAATAAAATAACAGCGTTAAATCCTCTAAAGAACTCTTCTATTATTGACAGAGTAAATAAATATAAATATATATATATAACTTGTGAAAGTAGCTCCTTTGTTCTTCCATGAACACACAGAATCTTAGAAATAAATACAGCACAAACAAAATCCAAGTTTAGAAATTATGAATACTTGAATTAATAATCCAACAAGAATGACTTCACAAATCCATATCACAATAATAATAAGACATGTCTTCGACTCTTAAGATTAATGAGGAGTGCAGTATTTCAAGTGGCTATGTAGTCCTAGCTTGACCTACATATTTTGCCACATTCAAAGTAGACACAACCGTTGTCTTCCGGTGGTCAATTTAGATTTTTAATTAGCCATCTAAGTCTGTCCTCGGCAGTATATTTCACAGTATAGATATACAAAATTATATGTCAAGTCAAACTAGTAATGTTTAAACTGATACTGTCCTCCTTTACTATTAGATAGCACGCCCCCTTGGCTTCCAAACCAAAGGGTCCCTGGTTCAAATCCTGAGATTTTTTATTTCGGGATCTTTAGGGGCTCTAAGTCCACCCAGCTCTAATGAGTACCTGACATTAGTTAGGGAAAAGTAAAGATGGTTGGTCATTGTGCTTATCACATGACACCCTCGTTAACCGTGGGCCACAAAAACTGATGACCTTTACATCATCTGCCCTATAGACCACAAGGGGAACTTTACTTTAAAACTTTACCACCTCTAGAAATAATAAGAAAAAGAAGAAACAAATAATGAGCATAAAAATTTAGTTTGATCTAATACAAAGTCATTCTCAAGAGCATGACAATATTACTAGAACTTTTTTATTTTTCTTATTTCTATTAGTGACAAGCTTATTAGTAGGTTAATCCCCCTTGGCTCTTGCTGTGATCTGCGACAAAAACAATGTTCGCAGAACACATCTTTTAAGAACTAGAAGTCTATTCACATTAACGCGGAAACCGCACAAGGAAGCACTTACCAACAATCTTATCATGTCTATCATGTTGTAATCTATGGC